TGGTAGTTTCTTTCTATTGCTTTGTTTATTGTTATGTTTTATGTTTAAATTTATGTGGAGGTATTTGTTAAATATATATGTAAAATATATGCATGAAAGATATTATAAAATATACATATGACATATATGAAACATACATATGAAAGATATTATAAAATATATATATGGGAGACATTATAAAACATACATATGAAAGATATCATGAAATATGCATATGAGAGATATTATAAAATATACACATGATACATATGAAACATACATATGAAAGACATTATAAAATATACATATATGAAAGACATAATAAAACATACATATGAAAAACATTATAAAACAGACATATGAAATATATCATGACATATGCATATGAGAGATATAAAATATACACATGATACATATGAAACATACATATGAAAGATATCATGACATATGCATATGAGAGATATTATAAAATATACACATGATACATATGAAACACACATATGAAAGACATTATAAAATATATACAAGAAAGACATAATAAAACATACATATGAAAGACATCATAAAACATACATATGAAAGATATCATAAAATATGCATATGAGAGATATTATAAAATACACATATGAAAGAAATTACAACACATATAATATATGAACATCAAATATACTCTGAGTTTTTTCCAATAATTATTATATGCACATCTGAATTATGTTCTCTTTATATTTATTTACAGGGTAAGCACTCTCTTCATGTAACATAAAAATTGTTCAACATAATTTGATTTACAAAAATTAAAAACTAGTTTGATGTTCTGTTTGTATCTGACATATGCAAGTACTGAATTTCTTTACTGATGCATAAATACATTTCTTGTTGCTGCAATCTGGCGACGCAATTATAGCCGAGAAATATTGCGATCAACTGAGCAGACTTCGAGAAGAAATCAAAGAAAAACATGCAGCATTCGCGAATAAAAAGGGAACTGTATTTCTCCATACAACACGCGTATCAACAGAAATTGAACGAACTAGAATCCACTTCATTTGGTATTTAATAAATACCTGTTATGTTAATAATATTGCTTATCAGGAAAATAATTCAGTAACGTCATAAAGTAAGAATACTTTAGCACATAAATGAAAAATTAAAGCAATGAGAAAAATTGCCAGATAAGTGAAAAAATTATTAATGTATAAGTTTGAAGTTATTAAATAAACAATTATATAATAATAATAACAGTTAAGTATAAGAATGACAACATTAAGTAAATTATTTGATGTGTTTGTGTCAATTGATTATGAAATTTGTTTATGTCTCTTAATAATAAAATTACTTAAAAATTTTAGTGGATGTTCCATAATAATTTAATTGCTATTCAAGTACACATAAAAAAGCTATTAATTGCAAATTAATTTACAAAAGAACATAGCAGTAAAATAGCTGTTTAAATGAGATATTAAAATAGAATCATATTAATTTTGAAAATTTATACTAACAAAGCTAATTTTGCTACATAAATTGATTAAACGGAAATGATATTAACAAACTCTGTATAGAACAGTTAATTACCCGTTTACCTAATTTAAAATGAAATCTCGAAATGAGGAATCGCGAGAACATTTTATTCTTCACCGGCGTTGCATGAAACTTTTGACATTCGCCGTGTAGCTATTTGTATCGGTATTTGAATAACAAATGTTTGCTCGTGAAGGCGTCTCTTTTGTTTCGTTCTCCTTTCCTACCTCTCTCATTTTTTTCTACCGAAATGTACGGCGCATAAAAGAACGGGGCTGAGTTATGGCTGTCGGGCCCGCGGATAGAGCCTTCAAGGATTACAATCGGAAATTCAGCTGGTTGAAAAACGCGTACAAATGTTGGCGGATGACGTAACCACCGTAAAAAGCGCTCTTCAACGGATGAAATTTTAACAATGCTTTATTCGGGACCGTTTCAGATTTAACGGAATGAGATTCGGTGATTTTCAAACCGGAAAATAGATGTTTTCCGGTGTAAACAGTCTAAAGTCGACCGCGTCGAAGCTCAACGAAAAAATACACGGTTCCCATGTTTTCGGGTTGCTTTGCTAAATCTAAAATTTAGATTTAGTTTCTAAGTCAACAATTTATGGAACTGCCACACTGAAACAGCTGAAAATTGCATTAGGTAGCATTTTCGTTTTTAACAAATCTTGCCAAATATTTTTACAGTATTTTACTATATTTATTTTTCATAGTCACAAGCAGTTAATACAAGTATTTTCAATGAACTAAGAAAACATATTTTTAATAATGGTAGATCTGTATGCTAATTGAAGTTCCACCCACATATGGGTGACATGACAGTCAGAGTGTTCAGACGAAGTGCTACTTCATGCAATTCACTTAAAAAACTGTGTGTATTATAATACTGATCATAAACACTATAAACTTGTCACGATAACTCTCGTATCAATGTATGACAAATGCAACCTAAGACATAATGAATGATTAAGAAAGTTAAGTCTAGCGAAATATTAGAAGACCCTCTGAATACGCTCGGAGTAAAGTGAATTACAGCTAATATGATGGATACCAGTGGGCAGAAAAACAACGATGGCAGTTGGTGTCCATTATGCAAAATGAAGAAAAAACGTATTTAAAGATTTAACTTGAAGCTTACCTTTATCGAATGATTTACGTGTTATAAATTCAAATGAAGTGTTTCATAAAAATTTTTAAAACGATAGCAAGGAGATAAAGAACGATGAATATTATAATATATGTAGCTTTTGTAGAGTTCCATATAAATATTCATATAGGGTGGTTCACGCAACTGTGTTGGGTTATAACTTATACAAAATGGTGGTTTTAAGAAGGTGGGAGTTTTTTGTGGAGGTTATAACAATTGCATGAAGTTTTTAAAGCTATAATTTTTATATTGTTGTAAAAATGGTAATAGTAAAGAGTAATAGTAAAGAGTAATGGTAAAGAGTAATGGTAAAGAGTAATGGTAAAGAGTAATAGTAAAGAGTAATAGCAAAGAGTAATAGTAAAAAGTAATAGTAAAGAGTAATAGTAAAATGTAATAGTAAAGAGTAATAGTAAAAAATAATAGCAAAGAGTAACAGTAAAAAGTAATAGTAAAAAGTAATAACAAAGAGTAATAGTAAAGAGTAATAGTAAAGAATAATAGTAAAGAGTAATAGTAAAAAGTAATAACAAAGAGTAATAGTAAAGAGTAATAGTAAAGAGTAACAGTAAAGAGTAATAGCAAAGAGTAATAGTAAAAAGTAATAGTAAAGTGTAACAGTAAAGAGTAATAGTAAAAAGTAATAGTAAAGAGTAATAGTAAAGAGTAATACTAAAGAGTAATAGTAAAGAGTAACAGTAAGGAGTAACAGTAAAGTAACAGTACATAAAATAGTATTGGTAATATAAGTTATAAGTCTTTAAATAGTAAAATATAAATAAAAAGCTAGTAATACTAAAAAAATTATTAGTTATCAAGATAAAAAAACGTACCAACTTAGACTACAAGAGCTCAACATAAAAATTCATATTACACTACAAAAGTTCGATATAAAACTTCGACTCAAACTGTGGAAACATAAAAATTCATGTTATACCGTGAGTCCAACATAAAATTTCAAGTTATACAACGGTATAAAAATTCGTGTTACACTAAAGGAATTCGACATAAAATTATAATAGTACAATATAAAAATTCATGTTATAACATAAAAACGCATGTTACACCTTAAGGGTTGAATATAAAAATCCCCCTAAAAGAAGATATAATAAAAGGTATCGACTTTTCGACCCTTCGTAGACTCCCTTAAACAAAGCATGGTTAATCGATCGCCACACGGCATGCATTTCACTAAATTGTCGTGGTTGACAGATGCTAAGCGATGCCAATGGCAGACACGCGGCAGTGGCCAGAACAGCAGAGAAAACGAATTGGTAGTCAGCTGATTTTGACAGATCCTGTCTCTACTCTGTGCGAATCAGGGCCGACATAAGGGGGTGCAATGGGGGTCTAACACAATGGAGCCCACTGCCGACGCCATTGTGAGTTTGTGCCGCATTTCACATATAAAGTCGATCGATGGGGCGGCGTGCGAGTAGGGGTGGACTTCATGAATTTCTACGTCTTTTTAAATCGGGAATAAATTAATACCGGCTCTTTAATAAAATATGGACTCGGTGGACTTTGGATAGAGTCACTACATCAACAAAGTTTGATCTAATCGGGAAGAAATAAATTGATGGATCTCAAGTTTCTTGGTTTACTTTGGTAAAATTATTATTTTGTTTTCGGAAATGGATTATGACATTATGATTTATTGTATGTTATGATAGATTATGATGTATTATGATTTATTAGGGCTTGTTGTGATATATTATGACTTCTGTTACAATATTGTAGAAATGTACTGATACACTACATTAGTGCATGTTAATATAACAAAAACTAATATATTAAATATACTAATTAAACAGTGGTTATTCATAAATCAATAAAAACAATATTTTTAATATAATGATTGCAATTTTAAACCCCAAATAACTAAACTAATAAAACTGATGGACTCTACGATCGTCAATTTATTTTATTAAAATTATGGTGTTTCTTTTAATGAAATTGATTTCCCTTATAATATTGTGGGAATTAAAATAATATTTATTTAAATATCAAGCAACAAAATAATTTTAATATGATTATTGTAGTTTTAAGCAATTTTTAATAAATTCATAACACAGAAAGTTAATTTTTGAATTCCCAAACTTGTACATTGGCATATTTCCAAATTTTACAATGCAGAAGTTTCCACATCACCAAATTATTCTATTATCTTCTATTAATCCTGTTACATTGGTCAAACGTATAAAATACGGAATGTATTCAAGCGTAATAATTTGTTCACAGTGCTACCCTTTTATTAAAATACATGCGATCTTCGTGAACGAACCAACATATTACAGAAATGTTCTGTGCTCCATGAATTTAATAATAATATCATTTTTCAAATAACTCACCCTATTTGGTTGAACGTGCCAACTACGTCGTTTGCCATGCCTCTGTATACCGTCTTCAGAAGTGGTAAGGTCAGCCCTGCTGCCAACCAAACAACCCCCTGTATCGTATTGGCCAACCAGAAGTCTCAATCGATTTCCTGGACAGATGCCCTGGGCAGAAAAAAGAAGAATTATGTGCGTCGACGCGTCGGCAATATTTAGCGACGATTAAACACCGCGGTACTTCAATCGAAGTCCTAATATTTCTAAGTGTCGTAGGTTGAATAATTGTGTAACACCGATATGTTTCTACTTATTTTTAACGATGTTCAAAACTGAACGACTTCGTGTCTACATGTATCCGATGATGTTCCAAAGCGAACAACGTGTCTATGTATCCGATGTTCCGAAGTGAACAACTTCGTGTCCATTTCGTGTCTATCTTTCAGATTGCTTATTCCGCAAGATGAAGGCTTGGTGTGGGCGCACAATTTTTACGAACAGGGCTGAGGGAAACAGTTCTAATTTCTATCGGGTACACAAATTCGGGTGGATATGGAAAACCTAGCGACGTATGCGGTCTGGGCATTGCCCAAAAGTGACCCAAGTAATAAAACCAAGCAACCTCGACACGAATAGGAAGCTGCAAATAAAGGACTTTACTAGTAAGATTAAGGGTTCTGACAAGCAGATGCGAATGATAATAAATTGAAAATACTAGGTAGGATGTTACGACTCCTTGGGTGTTAAATATATAGTAGGCTATGAAAGCATTCGAACACTGGCTACTGAAAGTTGGAACAATGAAAACGTTGCACTTGTGGCGGAGCAATCGAAGCGAGGATAATCGTAAATCATGGATTGCGAATAATTTAAATGAAAGGTAGTATGTAGAAAACAAAAGATTTATAACGGAAGAGTTTCTATAAGGGGTGTTACAATTTGTCATACGATGACGTATCTATTTTATGCTTCCATAAAATACGATATATAAATATGACATGTTTCATGTTTTCATAAAATATGGATATGTTTTGTTTTTATAGAAACAAATTTTGTGGATTCCAAAATATTTTGTAGATATATAAATATATCCTCCATATTGTTTTAATTAACAGTTTTAATTTACTAAAAAACTAAATTATAGAAGTTAAAATATATGAACCATATCTTTGAGAAAAATTATAGTTTAATCATGAAGAACTTTGCAATGCACTCACTAAGAGAACAAAACACTTTCAACTTGTTACTTATAATTCCTTATAAATAATTACTTATATTCCTTATAAATATTACTTATAAAATTTTACAATCTGACTATTTATAAAGGTGTAACTATTTATAGCTGATTAAGTATTTATAACTTTCACGGAAGGGAGGATTTGGTGAAACCGGAACGAAAATAAACTCGCCCTCCGCTTGCATCTTGTGGAAAAATCTTTCTTCGTTCGAATAACGGTGTCAGATAGCTCACACATTCGGTGCTTAAATTCTGAAGGCTTATGTGTCCACATGTATCGAGTTCTCCGCGTGTGTGACACGTTTTCGTGGTCGCGCACCCCTGATGGTTTGACAGTCGCAGCTGTCGAATATCTCTACCTGAGGTTGCGGTTCGAATACCTTCGAAAGGTGGAGTAATGTGATCATGAGCTTTCGATATTAGGGTCTAGAATCCTGACATTCGAGATCGAAGGATTACAAGGAATAAAAAGAAAAAAAGAGGAACACCTACGAATTACGCCGGTATTCACATTGTGAAGGGTGGAGATATCATTTTCTTTTTATTGGATTTTCTTGAAACTTGAGCTTCAAAATGGGTATTTAAAATTTTATTCTTGGCCAATAATTTTTAACAATTGAAACCTTGTTTTTTGAATTCGTTATTTTGATAAATAGTCTTGGAATGAATAATTTGTAGTTATAGTAGAGTTACAGTGGAGTTCATTTCATGTTCATTTGGATTATAATTTTCTTCTTGTCTTATTATTAAAATATTTCATTTTTAGGAGAAGTTATCAGTACATAACTTAGGTGTCCTCTTATCAGTCAGTGACATTCGGTGCTTATCTTCACAAGCAAGTACGGGCTAAGCAGAGGACCAACAATATACTTTTTCTGTTTTTAACTTGCAGTTTACTTCGCATAAATAGTGATGTGTTAAGTAAATTTAACAATTTAACAAATTTAAGAAATTAAACAATATAAGTAATATGAAAAAAAATTCTTGAAAGAGTAGCAAAATGTCTCAGATACAATTTCTCAAGAAAATTGTCTCGAATGCTTTATCATCGATCGTCAGGATGTTCACGACTGCAGAACAGAAAGATTTCGATGAACACAGTCCCGATACTTTCAGACCAAAGCGTGTGCCTATATGCATACGCGACAACGGAAAACCGGCGTTCATTTTCGAAACACCGGCAGACTGCACTGTGTACCTAGCTCTACAGAACTGTTCATTTGCCGTAGCATAGAAGCTCGAAAACGGCAATGTACCGGGACAAACTGTGCTCCATTACAAATTCTATTCAATCGCGAACGAAGAAAGGAGAACAGGCTCGTTCGATCAGGTCCGCTCGTACACCCGTTACGTTGCACGAGAGCATCTGCCGTTAATTTTCGTGCGGACGTGTGAGACAAATCGATTGGACGTCAATGACGTGTCCAAAGTAATCGAAATCAGTTACTTTGCTCCAGTCCTAATTTTTATTTTGAAATTTCATGTAACGGTAAATTACACGCAGATGTGACTTCCATACAGTTTATTGCACCAACAAAAATTATTAACATCGACGTGCGCGCACAGTTTGAAACAAGAAATAAAATAGAAAAAATAAACGTAACAAATTAATATACATATTAATCTCAATAAAAATCAACAGATTTCAAGAAAAGCATAAATTTAGTGATTTAAAGAAGATTGTGAATAGGCCAAATAACCCGATTGGTAGTTTCAGTGTTGATTATATAAAAGATACGTACACTTTCATTTCAATTTATTATGTATAAATGAAGTATATCGAAGTTCGTTTAGACTATTTCTATTTCGCATTCAATTACGGGATAATAGTCGGTGACACATGGTAGCTTCTGCGTGAAATTGTCGGTCAGCAATGTATTAATTGCAGTTTGAGAACTGACCGATATCGCTGATTTTTACCGATGCAGACACTCGCAATTTTTTATGGCAACGGTCGATTTGCCGCATATGGTTCCATTCGGACTTTTTATCCTTTCGACGAGTACCGCACGATACGACGATTGAAAAGTGTGGTAATTAGGTACTGCGGTGATGTCAGCTTCGACGATCTTGACTTTGACATACAGGTTCCGGACATGTAAAAGCGAACACGCGTCCTTATGGAAAAATAAGGAAATGTAGAATAAAATTTGTTGATTCGGGTTCGTTTTTGAGAAAAGTTTGAAGATTCGTTCCGTTGAAAGGCACTGATCTGTCGTACGTAAAGTACTTTATTATAAATACTCAAGGCTGTATAATAACAATCATCTTCCTCAATTTATAAAATTATTCCGGAATATACAAAAAATAACGTTTATTTAATAAGAAAATAAAAGCAAATACACTTGACGAATGTTTATGATTGCATTACCCTTGTTTTATTACTATATACAATAAATCCCTAACACACGCAACGAAAATATGACTCCATTTATCAAGATATAAATAAAAGGGATTAATGTCTTAAAGCAAGGAAAGCTAAAGCCGCACAAATTGCAGGAGGAAGTTAATTATCTCTTATACATTTTTCGCGTAATACTGGAATTGTATAAATAAAAGATGAGGCAAACATGCATCTGGCTCAGCTGCAAGAACCCGTAACAAGAACACAAGTAATTTCCTCGTAAAGTTGTATTACAGCCGTATATCCTTGTTTTCCAATTTCCAATTTAAACCTCCCCCATGGTTCCTTTTCAACGTACACCATATGCGTTATATCATGCCTTCTGTCTACGCTACAGGGATCGATATGTTGAACGACAGGCTCTTACAAACAGGATCGTGAAATTGAGCTTCCGAAGCGAAGGAAGATAAAATTCTAAAACCACAAAAAGTCCCTGAAATAGAAAACATGGGACGCATCACGAATGTCTGATACGCGTCAATGTCGAAAGTGGGGCAAGTCCATTTTCAAAGTTACAAAGTTTTTAAGTTCTTAATTTTCAAGATTTCATACTTTCAAATTTTCAAATTTTTATATTTTTAAATTTTTAGATAGTCAAATTTTTCTTTCTAAAAATTTTATAATTTGGGATCTTAAATGTACAGAAATTTAGAAGAGCAGAAATTTCGAATTTTTGAATTCACAAAACTGTAAATTAGGGATATAGAAAATAAAAATTGTTGAATGAGAAATATAGGAAATAAAAATTGTTAAATTAGAAATATAGAAAATAAAGACTTTTAAATTCTCAAATTTAAAAATTGAAAAACTGTGCATCCATCATAGCATCCTCCAGTACAAGCACTTGCATGACCATGCACTATGCTCTCGTGAGTGCAGTTATCCGTCACTGTTTTATACTAACATAAAAAACATGTACACTGCCATTGAATTTGTTCGTATACGTATAAACTATCCACAATCTTTAGTCCAACATTTCTTATCAGTCCTGATATATTCTGTAAAATAAAATAAAAGCTTAAAAGAAAATTCTAAAAATTTCAGCGTCAAAATTACTTGAATACTATTCTCACTGATTCTTGGTACCGGTATACGGATAAACCAAATAATAACAAAGTTACGGCCATTAGCAACTGACCCCACTTAACCAGTATTTTCTTCGCATTCCAGACGCATCGACACATCTAAAACCATGCTTACATTCCACAGAAGAATCCCTAGACAGGGGACCGTTCATGAAAATCACAGATAAGCTAGTAACGAGATTGCCATAGGTCGTGGACCTACACAGAAATCTTTCGAACAGATGTCGAACGCGGAAACGATCCTCAGGTCGCACTTTCAAACTCGTTCCAACGCTGTATACAGTGATCATTAATATTCGGACACTATAGTATTCTATCAGTTACTACTTTATGTATTTATGCATAATTAAATTAATTTTTGCTTTTGCGTATTTTTTGTTTTTTATTGTAGAATTATTTTACTGTAAGAACGCGTCAGTAGCGTCAACCATGGAGATCTACGATTTCGACTGTCACGTGGTTATCCGAATAACGCCGAAGGGAAACGAAGTGACCCGATCTGTCATTCGTCTGCTTACCGCGAATCTTATTAAAGCGAATTCTTTATACAAAATAAACTCTCGGAATTGCAAATAAATATGTTGTGAAATATATCGTGTTTGGTCTCATTTTAATCAGAAGAATGTCACAAAGATTTTCATATAAGTTTCAGAACAAAAATATCGAAAATAAATAGTTTCATTCTTGCATTAAGATTATCCTCCCAATATGTTCTTTGCTTACGTTCCACTCGTATGTTTTCTACGCTCGCTTCTCTATGTTCAACAAACTTGAAACAATATAATAATTACACGATATAAGCGAAAGTTCAAACCCGAAAGATTTGGTTTTACAATAGAATTTTTATTTTAACGGTACATACATTTCTTTCTACTACCAATGTTCTATCAATTAAATTTACAAGCTACACATCTTGTTCTTCGAAAATAATTTTATTTATTCGAATATTTGACCACCCACTATATACACGTTCCAAGAGTTCCCAGATGAAGATCTCCGTTCAAATACAGTAACGGTGCAGCCGTATACTCGATTTTCCCGATAACAATATCGCGTAATGTCTTTACAGCCGAAGAAAGTCCAACTACGAGCTTAGCACGCTAAATCGAGCTGCATGCATAATGCACCGACTACAGCTATACGTCAGTTCGTATGTTTCTCGTACAGCATGCTTGATAAACTCCATCAAACGTTAATAGAACTGCGGCACCGTTGGCGGAGAGGAACATATGGGATCTCGATGAACGTGAACGTTTACGTAAGTGGCTGTTCGATCTGCAACTAGGGCAATTACGAAAACTTTCGGGGGTAGGGGGATAATAGCGAAAGGTTTCGGTAGCTATTGAGTATAAGGTTTATTGTAGGGTGTCGCACAACCGTTCGTGGCGTAATGAGATTGGGAACTGATTTTCATATTTCCACATTTCTAAATCTTCAATTTCTGGATTTATAAATGCTCACATTCCTAAATTCCTAGATTACAAAATATCTAGATTTCTTAAAAAAATCACAAAAATATAAAATAATAAAAAATACCAAATGTGTAAGTTACAGGTTCCTAGGTTACAAAATTTCTAGATTAAAAATTCTTAAATTACAAAACTATTAGATCCTGAATCCCTTGAAGTCTAGTTGATCCAGTCTAGATCTTGAGTCCCTAGATCCCTAAATCCCCAAATTCCTAGATCTCCAAGTTCCTACATTTCCGAATTTCTAGCTTCCTAATTCCCTAGATCCCCAAATCCCTAGACTCCCAAATCCCTAGACCCCAAATTCCTGGATTTCAAAATCCCTAGATCCCAAGATCCCCAAATTCCTAGATCTCCAAGTTCCTACATTTCCAAATTCCTAGCTTCCTAACTCCCTAGATCCCCAAATCCCTAGATTCCCAAATATCTAAATTCCCAAATCCCTAGACCCCAAATTCCTGGATTTCAAAATCCTTAGATCCCAAGATCCCCAAATTCCTAGATCCCCAAGTCCCTAGATCCCCAAATTCCTAGATCCCCAAAATCTCTAGATCCCCAAAATCTCTAGATCCCCAAAATCTCTAGATCTCCAAAATTTCTAGATCTCCAAATCCCTAGATTCCCAAAATCCCTAGATCCCCAAAATTTCTAGATCTCCAAATCCCTAGATCCCCAAAATTTCTAGATACCCAAAAACCCTAGATCTCCAAAAACTCTAGATCCCCAAAAACCCTAGATCCCCAAAATCTCTAAATCTCCAAAAACCCTAGATCCCCAAAAACCCTAGATCCCCAAATCTCTAAATGCCCAAATCGCTAGATCCCCAAATCCCTAGATCCCCAAATCCCTAGATTCCCAAATCCCTAGATTCGAAAATCCCTGGAACCCCATTCCTAGATTTCAAAATCCATAGATTCCTAAATCTCTAGACTGCCAAATCCCTAGATGCCCAATTTCCTATATCCCGCGTTCCTATATATTAATTCTCCAAACCCCAAAAAATAAATTAAATAATATATTTTCTATTAAAGAGGCGTAGGCGTGATTTCTATTGCGTGAACAATTTAAACTTATTGCGAGAAAATGAGAAAGTTTCCAGATAATAAGAAGTAAAAGAATATTCGGGGGTGATTTATTAAGACGCCAAATAAGTTTGTAACGAGACGTAATTGAAAGACATTTTTCCAACTGTTTTTCGAGCGAAATACCTCGGTTAAGTAAAATAATTAACTTCTTGTCGAAAAGTGTGTTAGAAAGTTCCATTGAAGAAGGTAATTACCTGTCTACCACGGAGAGCACACAACCACCAACCCTCCAGGCCAGCGGTATTTTGCTCCAGTACCGTAAGAACATCACCCTTCCGAAATGCCAATTCGTCGGGAGCTTCTGCGATGTTATCGTAGAGGGCACGCGCTTTTACACATTTTTGCTGTAACAAAAAGTTGAAACAATGCATTAGTATTTCTTTTTATACAATACATGTCTTCTATATTTACTGTAGATCCATTTTACTATATCTGTAAATAAATATATTTTGTGAAAATCTGTTTTTTTTTTTTTAATAAAATCTGTAATGTAAAATGTTCTAGCAAATGGGTTAAAGTAACAGTTTGTTCAAGTAAAATAATTTCACCACCCACTGCAATATCAATCCAGTTTCTTTTCCTCTCACGAGTCCGCATAAATGGACGTGTCCTTCCAATCAATTGAATCCCATAAAATCCCTAGCCGTTTCAGCGGCTCGCGTTGCTATTTCGGGAAGCAAACTGTTCTTAAGAGATATAACGACATTTCAGACGAAGTACAGGTCACAATGGACGTGACTCGTTTACCGAGAAACCGCGTTTTGTTTCACTCGCTTTCAAGTGATTTCAATTAAAGTGCCTCGCCGGGATGACAACACTTTTCTCGCCATCTATTTTTTCGGGGCAAACAATGATGTCATCTCCTGACTTTGACAAATGTCGGCAAAGAAACGCGCCGCCATCTTAGCCTGAATTTAACGAGTTTGTATGAAAAAAATGGCCGACATCTTCTTTTTTGCTCTTGGCAAATAAGAAATCTTTTGCGAATTATTGGTCTTGGAAAATATAAAAAATTTTATTAAACTAAATGAGGTGATTTATATAGGTAAACTTTGTAAAAAAATAGAAACGATAGAATTTATTATATTAAGTTAGCATGAGCACGTGACTTATTTCACTCTGCTGTTTCCAAAACAAATTTACAAAGTTTCAAAAACTGAAATTTTGTAATTCTCCACTTTCCGGTTTTCCATGATTTTAAATTCCCAAATTTCCAAATTTTAAAATTAAAAAATTTAAAAGACGCCACATTTAAAAATTCAATAAATTCCTCAGATGTAATTTAAACTCAGTCACAAGATTATTAAATGAAATCATTGTAAAATTTATTGATTCAATAAAATTAATAAAGTATAGTACATTCAAATCAATAATACATAAAAGTTAAATTCATAAATTATTGAAACCTTACTGAAATATATATACGGCGCGCAATTTAAAATCCTTAATTACCAACTGTAATTACCGAAGCGATTTTCCATGTTTATTAATTTCACTACTGATAATAAATTTAAATGAAAATTTATCAGCGTCGATGCAATGAAAAATAAATGGAAGGACGATATTTATTCTCTCATTTCAGTATTATACTGTTTTAGTACGAATGATTTATTATCTTATTAACACGGTCTAATGAATAATTTAATATATCATTAATTACTTACCGGAAAACATCGCAGTATAATAAATGTTCATAAATTATTGACATCGTAAATTCTTAACATTATTAAATCATAAATGAACAATGTAATAATAATTATTAACGTCTGAGCATTATCGAACATTGGTAAGTAATTAAATTTAAATGCATGCTTCTTAAATGTTCTCTGTTTATCGACTCTTTGACAAGTTTTCCGAAGTATCTGCGTAATTAAAACTCGGCAGAAGTTTCCAAAACGACTAAAGTTCTTTTCAAGTGAATGAGCAGTGCTGTTGAAACGTTTTTAAAACTTACTTCACAATTTCCTTAATGTGTTTTTATTTCAACTTTTAAAAGCAGATTATTGAACTTATGAAATTATTACCTTCATACTTTTGCTTGAGCGGTAAAGTATTTAGTATTATTTGTTGGGGAAATTAAATTTGTTATAATGGATTATTTAGATGGAAATATTATTATTGTTAATAAATATTAATATAATATTAAATATTATTATTATTCAATTAATGGTAGAAAATTCCGAAATTGTATATTTCAAAATTTCCAAAAATTCCCCAAATTTCAAAGTCCCAGAATTCCAAAATTCCCCAAATTCCAAAATTTCAAATTTCCAAAATTCCCCAAATTTCCAAAATTCCGCAAATTCCAAAATTCCAGAATTTCCAAATTCCAAAATTCCAGATTTTCCAAATTCCCAAATTCCCGAATTCGAAATTTCGAAATTTCCAAATTTCCAAAATTCCAAATTTCCAAAATTCCCCAAATTCCAAAATTTCAAATTTCCAAAATTCCCCAAATTTCCGAAATTCCGAAATTCCAAATTTCCAAAATTCCAAAATTCCAAAATTCCAAATTTCCCAACTTCCAAATTTCCAAATTTCCAAATTTCCAAAATTCCAATTTTCCAAAATTCCAAATTAGCAAACTTCCAAAATTCCAAAATTCAAAAATTCCAAATTTCCAAAATTCCAAAATTCCAAAATTCCAAATTTCCAATATATCAAATCACCAAATTTCCAAAATCCCAAATTTCCAAATTTCTAAAATTCCAAATTTAAAAAAATCTAAAAACCTAAAAATACATTCAGTTTTTAAAATTTCAAGTTCACATTCCCAACCCTATAATCCCAAAGAAATTATTAATTGCATTCAGTCGTCGAAGTAATTACGAATTAACGACACTTCTGTTTCATTAATCATACAACGCAGGAAGACGATCGTAAGGGTGACCGGAGGTTTAAATCAAGAAGTAATTAGCACATGGTAGTAGAACGTGACCGATTACTACGACTCACTGATCAAACGTGATTGAAATTAGTCTCGAATTACCGAAATTAATTCCCATCGTAATTACCGCTTAAATACCTTTGGTTGTCAACTTCAACATTCAATTACGAAATATTATAACTAACGATCTACACCGAGTGTCGAAATTTTCATGAACCATTAAATTATCTGTGTTTATCCAACGGTTGCCAGGCAAATATTTTAATTGGCAAGCTTACATTTGCAAGTTTTAATGAACTAAATATGTATATTGATCAAATTTCTTCGTGACAACGTGCGGTGTATAGTAATCAAGATTATGTCGTTGAAATTTAAACATGATTCACTTATGGAATAATTATAATTTATTTACAATAAACACGTACTGTTGCATAAATAATTTTAGCTAAAAAATATTTTTGCAGTGACATAATTTGTCTCAGTCGACGTTACTTTATCAAATTAACATCCACAGTATTTCATATTTTTACCATCTCTTTAAGTATCTACTTTAAAGGCACTCAAAATTTATTTAATCTTTTACCGATCCATAAATTTCAACGAGGTTTATGTCTAGACTCTGAAATATTTAATATACGGGGTGTATTATGTATCTTGCCCACTGCACTGTCTGGCAACGTCCATTTCAAGTTCATTGTACCTGAGTACAAAATACGCGAACATGAACTGAACCTTTAATATTTTGAGAAGCATCGAGCCGGTCGTCGTGAATTGGATGGTAAGTCGTCGAAGAATGCAGTTTAACCCCATAAAAGGCACGAACGTCAGGCCAGTCTGGCAGGTACACGTACTGACGACCTTTCGAACTGACAGCTTTCAAAGATACGATTCTATGCTTACATTCGAAACGGGTCATCGTGTATACTGATCGGATTTCGAACGTTTCGAATTACAGTGATGTCCGGATATATGACCGCGAATCTGTCCGCTTATATCACCGCGGGAAACCCCCACCATTTCCTGAAACTGCTGTCCCGCGGTAGACTAGTGATTTACTGAAACGGGAGAAATATGTCCCTGTATTGATGGGACAAACAAGAGAGAAATAATTCTCTATGCAGAAGCTGGTAAAAAATGTACAACATTTTTGAAGATATTTGTTTATAAAATAAATAAATCATACCTTCGGATAAATTTATTATAGTTTACATTAGTATATTAACAATATAGTGAATAATAATAACGGAGTTTAGTGGTATTTTTAATTATATTGATTAATTTGCGTCACTCGCTGATTATTACACTATTAAAAACTGTTGTTTTTTCATCCAATCTAGTTATTAACGATATGAAATAATTTAAAGTAAACTGCAAATGGTTTGCGTTAAATTTACCACTGCAGCAATTTTCTGTCGCGTTTACACAGTGAATTCTCTTTTTTAATTCAATTTTTAAAGTTGCGTCCACCAATTCGTTTAATAGCGACAATGTCGTTGTCGATTATGCTTAAATGAAATGAAACACACACAATCAATTTTCGTTACAACTCTCACGTATATTTTGCTTTTAAATTGATTGATATAACGACTACACAGTAAATGATTTACACGATACAAGCATAAAGTTCACATTCGAAAGATACTTCTTTCAAAACTTTATTATAACCTCAAGTTCTTCAATCGTATTTAGACATTTCTGTCATTATAATTTCGACAGTTGGACGCACCACGTGATTATCCGAGTAGCACCGAAGAGAAACGAAGTTACCCGACGTGTCATTAGTCTGTTTACCGCGTCTTATTACAATAGAACATCGGTAAACGCTTGGAATTTCAAGTGAATATAATTGTTACTTAAGTGGAGAACAGTTTGATCAAATAATCTCACGTTTCTGTTCAACAACGGACTATAAATTTCATGCCAAGTGTTTTAAACTTCGGATCATGCTTGCAGCGGTTCGAATTTATTCTGAAACATACGTTACACGTTCATCTCGTTTCAGATTCCATCAGAAATCGTGCGGCGTCGTCGTGGCGCTCGCACCTTGTCTATCCACGATACGAATAATTATGCGACTAGCGTTCGCAATTAGGCGACGACCTACATTGCGGCTCGAGTACGAAATTGCAGTGGCACGGATTAAATTATGCTAATTAACGACACGCGAGCTTTTAATAACGCGGACGAGCGAATCGTAAAGCGAGAACGAAATAAAGTCGAAGGTTAATGGAGATCACCTTTGCGTCTGTTACCTTTAAGCCGGTAGAATGGAAACATGAGAAGAAAGGTGTTGATATAGTGGATAGCTTGAATGAAAGCGGCAATAGTTTGATGTAATCTTATTTAAGATCTTTACGGCACAAGTGGCAGGTAATGAATAACCTCTGTAAGGAATTAAGTTGAGTTATTACCTTCGAGTTAATTACTTTGGTTTATTCAAACGAAATTTACTTGAAC